TATCTTACCTGTTCCCCCAAAAAGCGTAATATATAGGGTGACAAATCCTCCCAAGAGATAAAACTTTCAGTTCTAAAACCAGAAAAGTGCCAGGTATATTTTGGACCTTAATCCTAATTGAATATATCATTGGCAATTGTGGGGTTTCCCCCCCGTTTCATACATGGCCTTTTCATTTTGTTGATGGTTTCCTATGCTGAACTGAAGCTTTTTAGCTTAATGTTCGTTTTTTGTTCTGTTGCCTCTGTCTTTGGTGTCAAATCTAAAAACTCATTGCTAAGCTCTGGCCAGGTGGTTCAGTTGGTTGGAGTGTCATCCCATGCACTGAAGGGTCATGGGTTTGATTCCTGTCAAGGTACATACCCAGGTTTCAGGTTCGATCCCCAGTCAGGGCATGTGTGGGAGCAACTGATTGATGTTTCTCTCTCTCTCTCCCTTGCCTTTTCCCCCTTTATCTAAATAAATGATGATGATGATGATAATAATAGAGTTTACTGCTTAAAAATTAATAAAATAAATAAAAACTTATTGCCAAGACTCATGTCAAGGAGCTTGGTCCCTATGTTTTCTTTAAGGGGTTTCATGGTTTCAGACATTACCTTCAAATCTTCATCCCATGTCTATTGTATTTTTTGTATGGTGTAAAGTAGGGGTCCAGCTCCTTTTTTTTTTTTTTTTTTTGCGTGTGGCTGTCCAGTTTCCCCAGCACTATTTACTGACAAGACTATCCTTTTCCTACTGAATAATCTTGGCTACTTTGTCAAAAATTAATTGACCATATATACATGGGTTTATTTAGAAGCGAACCTAGGTGAGTTGGTAACCTCTTGATATTTGAGATTATTTCAAACTGTGTCAAACCGAAAGTCATGCTTTTTTTCCGCTGGTCATCTCTTAATATCTATTCCTGTCTCTCTCCCTCCTTCACTCTTCTCCTTTTCTTCTTGCTCTCACATCACAATCTCAGCCATCTCCTGGTTAGAGGAGGCACCAAGGTCTCAGGGTCAGGATACAAAACTGTGTTCCTTCCAACATAGTCCCTGAGGACAAAAGACAAGAATAACCTATACCTCCCACACCTCCACCCTCCCCAAAACATGTCATTTCTACTACTTCATTAACACCTTTTTATTATGTTCGAGTTTTCTTCTGATTTTCTGTTTCTATACTCCTCTCTGCTCTATGCCCCAACCTAATTAACTTTCACTTTATCTCTGACAATTTCGAACCCAAACTGCTTTACCCTAACCAGGCCTTTCTTCACTGTTCCCTGCTTCCTGCCCTCCCCATGTTTCTCTTTATCTCCAAAGCTGATGAGCATCACTCCTACCTCTGTCTCTGTGTTCACAAGGTGTTCTGGTGTCTCCGTGTCTCTTCTCCTTTTCTTATAAAGGCGTCAACCACATTTAACTAGGGCCCACCCTAATAACTTCTGCCAATGAAGTTTAACTTGATTTCATCTGCAAAGAACCTATTTTTCAAAGTAAAGTCACATTCACAGATCGGAGCAGGAGTGGGCCCAGGTCAAGACAGCTCTCTTAGTAATCAAGCTGCTTCATTATTTCTGTGATGCCATAGAAGCAAGAACATCATAAACTCTAACTACCAACCTAATAGTGACTTTGACAATCCTCATGGAATTCCCCTCTTCCCAATCACAAACATTTCCACTTGTGCCTGGATGGCATGGCTCAGTGGTTGAGCATTTACCTATGAATCAGGAAATCATGGTTCGAGTCCCTATCAGGGCATATGTCTGGGTTGTGCACTCAACCCTCAGTGTGGGGCGTGCAGGAGGCAGCCAGTCAATGATTCTCTCTCATCACTGATGTTTCTGTCTCTCTCTCCCTCTCCCTTCCTCTCTGAAATCAATAAAAATATATTTTTTAAAACAAGGAAAGAAAGAAAATGAGTTCTTGTGATGCCACTATTTCTTAAACCTGCAGCCCATTCCAATCCTGCAGACCTGATGGAATTTTTTGATGAACAAATAAGAAGTAATAATGAAGTCACTCGAAGTGGGATCTTGATTTTGTTACGATTGGTTATCAAAGCTGAAGGTAAGAAATAGGGATGAAGCCAGAGTAGTTTATTCTGTACCAGGAAGAAAATTGAACCCGATGCATGTTCTAATCCTATCCTACATCTTTGGGATATTTATAGAACATTATATTCAAGTGAAGCTCTGTCTTCCTCGATGTCAACAATCTATTATTTTTAAACAGGCATTTTCAGTTACCTCTCTTCTTTTGTTATATTTGATGAGTTGAGAAGGATGAGTAGAATACTTGGGAATTTAATTTAGAAGATCTAGTAAACTGTTTAAGTCGCCCAATTAACAAGCGTGGGTAAGAAGAATGCATAGTATTCTAGAGATTAGTCCATTTAGAAAAGAGGAGAATTTAATAAATTATCATATTTTTTAATTCCAAGAAGCACATATTTTCATGATAATGTAACATATCTTATAATTGACAACATTTTAAATGATAATCAGCCACTATCGTTTTTTTAATGCAATATAAAATAATGGTGCCTCATAAAGTTAATAATATCTTGGATTTATAAAATATGATAATTATTTCTGCACTACATCATAGTAGTTTTTAAAATTCAGTTATCATTGGGATTTATTGAAAAGTCAAACAAGAAATATGAAATAGTTTCACAAAATTTAAAGCTGATCCACTGGGCCTGATGGATTGAATTCACTTTGGACTCTAACTTAATTTTAAACAAGATGAAACCAAATATAATAGGGAGCAAAGGAAGCAATCAACATCTTTAAAGTGAGAAGAAGAGCTAGGAGGGAACTGAATAACATAACATGCTAAGGACAAGAGACTTTACAAATACACACCATAGTGGGTTTTCATCAATCCTAGAACATACTATCCTCCTACTAAATCATGCCCTCAATGTCACCTCTGTCTTTCAGAGCCCAACTTGAGGAGTCATATCACTTCAATCGAAAGAACAGTCAAAGTTGTCATGGGTGACCTCAGTATAAAAGTAAGAGAATTAATGGGGATTTTTATTCGTTCGGTGGTAGTTTTAGGAGTAAACAAAACAGTTTTGACTGTTTAAGGTTTTACTTATGAGATTTCTTTTTTTTTATTGTTTTATTACTTAAAGTATTACAAAGGGTATTACATATGTGTCCTTTTTTTTCCCCCACCCTTGACAATCTTTATAAAGAACTTTGACCAATTCTATTTTTTCAAGAACTCTATTTTTCCACCAAAAGATAAACCAAATTAAGATACAGTTCTAAAAATAGTTATAATGTATCTTCCTTCAAAAAAATAACCCCTGAGCATTGTTCTGTGCACAGACATCCTGTTTTCCAAACAGGGAGTACCTAGAGCGAGTCTTGCCCTAAATAGGTTGCTCAATATTTCCAGATTATTTCATCCAAGTAGTTCATGTTAGGAAAGATGTAGAACCTACGCTGACACAAATGTTTAAAAATTATCAATTGTAATTTTTGCATGAAAATCATATTTGATTTGGATTAGAGCCCTACATAGAAACC